ATAGTAAAAATCACAAGTGGATGACATACGAAAGGAAGAAAATTTACTTACTAGGAAAACAGGTGTGATATGCTATGTGTTGGGATCTAATCCCCCACTGAAAGTAATCGATGGATACTTTAGGAGAATATGGGGAAGCTTGGGGATTGATAAAATTGCACAAGTGAATAGAGGAGTCTTTCTGATACGATTCCACACAATTGAAAGCAGAATCAAAGTTATTGATGATGGAGTCCAGATGTTCGACAAAAAGCCAGTAGTAGTGAAGCCATGGGAACCAGAGGTGGATGTAAGCAAGGAGAAGGTGGATAGAATTCCAGTATGGATAAGGCTTAAAGGATTGGATATTAAATACTGGGGGAAGAATGCCCTTACAAAGATATCAGGAATGTAAACCATTAAAGGCAGACAGAGCAACAACCAATAAGGAGAGATTAGCATTTGCCAGGGTGCTAGTGGAAGTCTCAATAAATCAGCAGTATCCTCAGCAAGTAATGTTTGAGAATGAAGTGGGGAAAATTATCAAACAAGAGGTGTATTATGAATGGAAGCCTACGTTATGTTCAAACTGCAAAAACTTTGGACATGACCTGCAAGATTGCAGGAAACTGCACNCCTGTAGCAATCCCGCCCATGATCTGCCCTTATCTACCTTGGGATTATCTGGTTTCATCTGAACTTCTGCTCGATTTTCCTTTGTAACAGCACTTTGCTCTGCATGTACTGTTCCATTGGATTTCACAGCACTTGAGTTTGCTTTCTCTGCGTCAGCTGTTGTACCTTCAGATCTGCTTATTATATTCTCCTTCCTAGCTAATTTCATGTTTGGATTCACTGGTGTTACTAGTTTCTGTGCATATTCCCCTAGATCTGGCCATTTTTCCTCGCTTTCATGCTCAGATTCTTCCTCTTGCGTTACCTCGCTAGTTTTAGCCTTCCCTTTGCCATGCTCTGTTGCTCTGGTCATCACTATCTTCTGATCTAGTACCAGCGTCCTTATTACCTGTTTCCTCGGTCTTCCTCTTCCTCCCATTTTTCCAGTGGGCGCAGGTTAGTATTCACCTAACGTGCGCCGAGAGAGAATTTGGAAGGGAGTGAATTGTTTAATAACTTTTTTTTTCAAATTTCACTTGTAGAATTATACTGTGTTGTTGTTGTTTCTTGTTGTTGGAGTCTTTTTTTTTTCTTTTTTTTTTGCAGATGCTCCATCTCAACCTTCGGCATGCCTCTTCAATATTTGTTTGTTTAGCTTCCAATAATTGTTACGGATCCATTCCTTTTTAACTTTATAAAGTGAACAACTAAGGCCTCATTTGTTTGCACTTAATGGAGGTTTGAATTTTAATCATTCAGATCTCAGACATTAAGTGCGTTTGTTTTTAAAGTCTGAATCTTAATCATACAGATCTTAATCATTAAGTGTATTTTTTTTAACTTCACAGCTACTTAGTGGGTCTGAATAGGTCTGTATGACTAAGATCTATAACAAAGACTTAATTTCATTAAGATGCTATCATCCACATTCATCATTAATTATCATCACCGCCTACCATTATCAACTATCACCATGCCACCCACTATCACCTTACTCAACCACCACCACCATTACCATCATACTCAATCATAGCCACCACCATTATCGACAACCCCCACCTACCATCCTCACTACCCCAGCACCATCATTCTCAACCACAACTACAAATTCATCCACCTCAGCTAACCACCCCATCACCATCAACAACCATAGCCGACACTGCCCACCATTATAAACTACCACCACCTTCCTCAATCACAACCACCACCACCTACCATTATTAATTATTACCACCCACCACCACTATCCTCAACTATAATCGCCATCACTATCAATCACCACTAGCTACTACCTAGAACCACCACCATCAACTACCCCCTCTAGTCGGCATTCAGAAGCACCATTGTTAGCCATATAATATCAAATTAATTAGTATTTTATTTGAATTTTATGTTTATTAATTTTCAAATAAAGATAATTTTTATACATTCAAATGTTAAAAAAAAACAGTCTTAATCTTTTAGTATTCGGATCTTGATACACATCTTAATATATTCAGATGTGTATTTAGATTCAGTTGTCTTAATCTTAATGCATACCTTGATATTCAAATGTGTATTCAGATTTAGACGTCTTAATCTTTAAAAAAAACAAATGAGACTTAAATCAGTTAAACAATTCTTCCCCTATCAAACCATTGTCAAATGGAAAAAACCTTTTTTTTCATAAAAGGGTACTTTTTTTTATTAGGCAAATTTGCTTACCATTTGCAACAACAACCCATTTACAAGTCAATTCAAGTAATTCTTTTCCTTTTCCTATTAGTTTTTATGAGTGTTATGCTAATTCAATAATTTTTATATGTATTTTTTTCATTGTTATTATTATAAAATGAGTATCTTTGTGTATGAAAATTATTTGGATATACAATACCGTCCTAGCTAATTTTCATTAGGTGCTTATCTGTTACTCCATATCCTTTTTTAACATCACTAGGAAATTTTAACTGTATTATGCTAATTGTCGTTCATTAGCGGGCTTTACTTCTTTACGTCATTTTATTTGTTCAATTTTACGGTAAATATCTTGGGATGGGACAATATACTAATTGTTTCCTCCCATTTTTTCTCCTTCATTTGTGTTCATTATTTTGGTGTTGCTTGCTTCATTCCAGGCAGTGACGAAAGCAGGATGTTATTCAGCAAACATTATATTTATTTATACCATTTTTTCTGTTGATGTGTTGTTCTTTATATGGTAAGATAAATTTCTATAAAATTGTAATATAGTTTATTAATATTAATATTATTTTATAAAATTTTATACAGTTAACATGAAATACACGTGCAACGCAGGTGTCCGAAAACTAGTTAACAAAGAAGTTGGAGAACTCCAACTGAACAACAGTCAAAGGTTATTGATTCTTTTTATTTATTTATTTTATTTTATTAATTAGAGGTTATTGTATTTGAAGTTTTGAACTCATATTACTGCGTTACAAAACTATCACACAAGAGGATTTCTAGTTTCCTTTTTCCCTCTTTTAAGATTTCTAGTTCAGAACTCAGAGACTTCTAGTCAAGGGACATCTTCACTTAAAATATAACTGACCGAAACATAGAAATTTTTAAAAAGGAACAAGTGACTAAATGGTTCTTCTTTCTTCTACCGTTGTAGTACTAATTTTCTTATTCTCAGCAGGTTGACAGTTTCAAACGTTGAAATAGATCCTTTCTTTACAAGTTGTTAAAGATACTTTTTTTTTACGGGAAAATGACGTTGTATAGCCGCTCTCAAAATAATAGTCGAAAATATATATATATATTATATATATATATATATATATGTATGTATGTATACATTATGTATGTTATATACAAAAAATATATAAATTTTATATATTTTTTCGGCCACTGAATGTAAATAATTTTTGACACGGACTAAAAATGATAATATCCCATTTTTTATTTACATTGCTGAATTGTTAAAATACCTTTAGTGAAACTTATTATTATTGAGATTTGGACAAAGTCTTCTTTCATCAGGCCCTGCTATGTAATTATTTTGTCCCCAACACTGAACAATTGGAATTTTTTAATTCAGCAGTGTGTTCTTACACGATAGTTATGATGTTGGAGACATAATTAAGTAGATAAATATTTTCTTAAAATTTTTAAACTTTTAGGGGTTGTTTGGCTATTGGTTAGAATGATACAGGTATTAGTACAAGACATTCATTAAAAAGCTTCAAAACTTTGTTTCAAAAATTGAATTTTGCAAACAAAATTATTTATTTGGAATGATTGAGAATGTCCTCTGGAGTTTATATCTCAATTTTGAGAATTTAGTAAAGATTTGAGGTGATTTTGGTTAGAGTTTTATATTGAAAATCGGAAAAAGAAAAGGACAAACGTATTGTATATATTTCGTATATCGGGTGTAGAAACGACATACAAAATATATACAACTAACATAATTGTTTACAAGTTGTATATAAATTATATGTGAATTATGATATTTGACTAGATTTTATAGAAAAAGATTGTATTCAAGTTTGTAGATAAATTGTAAATTTTGAGCGATTTGTATGTATTTTGTAAAAAACTTTAGTTAGTTTTTATGGATAGAAAAATAAAAATAATATGTATAAATATATTTAAAATTTCGTATATGTACGAAAAAGTTCCGTCGACAAATAGTTGTTAAAGCCCACAAACTAGGACATGGGCCAACCCTTCCTCTAAGAAGCGATTGCTGAGAGCAATTATTAGCCCGTTTGGCCAAGCTGCAAAAATCAGCTTATTTTGAGAAATGCTTTTTTTCAAAAGTATTTTCGATTAGAAGCAGTTTGTGTTTGGCTAATTAGTTTGAAAAGCACTTCTGAGCAGCAATTAGTGTTTGGCCAAGCTTTAAAAAACTGCTTCTAAGTGTATTTTTCTCAAAAGTGCTTCTCAAAAAAGTGCTTTTGGAGAGAAGCTACTTTTTTCTGCTTCTCCAAAACTGCTTCTGCTTCTCCTCAAAAGCACTTTTTTTCCTTTCAAAAGCTTGGCCAAACACCTCAATTTTTGGCCAAAAGTGCTTTTGGCCAAAAAAAAAAGCTTGACCAAACAGGCTATATGAATAGGCCTAAACAATTGGCCCTAGTGTTAACCCCATCAAAACAAGGGAAAATGACANCGCGGGCTAAAAGTAATAGTACCCCTTTAAAACAACATTATTGTTCAAATTTAATTAGTTATAACTCCTTTTGTTTCAATTTATGTATCTTAGTTTAATTTGGCACACAATTAAAAAGATAAATGAAGATTTTTTAAACTTGTAGTTAAGTTTGTGCTATTATAATATTTTTGGACATCGTTATCTTAAATATGTCACAATATTTGTGTGATTATAAAAGTTTCTCGTTAAGAAAAAAAAGTTTAAATTTAAATTATTTTTAAATATAAAAATAAGTTATTCTTTTAATAACTTCCTAGTGAGAAATAGTTTCACAAAAACTAGACGGGATAGAGTAATGCATTTTAAAAATTAGGTAACTTTGAAAAGTTAAAAAGAAGAATAATCTAAATTCTAAAACATTACAATATGATTGATTAATAAATTGGCCTTATCAAAAAAAAAAAAAAAAAAAAAAAAATTCCCTTTTGCTGCAAGGTCCGTAAATTGGCCTTACCTCATCAATTATGGAGAAGTATAATTGGAGGGGGATTATTTACACCTAATAATATTAATTATTATAATTATGTGATATATTCATGTAAGAATACATAAAAACTAGAGTGAATTCCATTTTACCCCCTTAACCTTTTAGTGTAGGGAAATAATACCCCCTTCACCTTTTGAATGGAAAAGAGAACCCCCTTTGACAGTTACTGAGCTTCTTATTTTGAAGAAGTTCTCTGAATTTCCATAATACATCAAAATTGTAACAGTTTTCTTTTGGACAATTTGGAGCAGAATAGCTTTTTTAGTGGTTATCTTTCATATTGTAATGTTGTTATGGGATTTCCTTAGCTATACTAATAGCATTTCCTGCTAGAACTGGATTAAACTTCTAGCAGTATATTATTGAAAGATGTCAGATCCTCAGCGGAAATGGTTTTTAGAATGTGTTTCAGTGCTATGATGTGTAAAAATATTTACAAAATCTTGTTACTTATAAGGTAGTAAATCTCTACAATTTTCGCACTTCTCCTTTGTATTCCTAGATTCTTTGCGACTACATGCTGTGTTATTTGTTTATGTTATCTTATTTCCTTGCCATTGTTACCGTTTGCTTATTGTGTCCTTTTCACTGTTCTTGAGCCGTGGGTCTAGGGGAAACAACATCTCTCTTCCTTCACAAGGTCGGGGTAAGGTCTGTCTACACATTACCATTACCCGATTCCACGTGTAGGATTTCACTGAGTTTGTTGTTGTATGGTAAAAATGGTATTTGACCTGCTTTCCCATAAAAAACTACACTGATTGTGTTAGAAATCTTTACAGTATATAACTTAAATTCTTTATATTTTGTTCTTTGTGCTCTGACATTGAGATACTCTTGGATTTGATCAGGTGGACACATTAACCCTGCTGTGACATTTGGTATGTTTCTGGCAAGGAAGTTGTCTCTAACCAGGGCAGTTTTCTACATTGTGATGCAATGCCTTGGTGCAATCTGTGGTGCTGGTGTTGTCAAAGGGTTCCAGCCATCTTTGTATCAGGTTAAGGGCGGAGGTGCCAATGTTGTGAATCATGGTTACACCAAAGGAGATGGCCTTGGTGCTGGGATTGTTGGCACTTTTGTTCTTGTCTATACAGTTTTCTCTGCTACTGATGCCAAAAGAAATGCAAGAGACACCTATGTCCCTGTGAGTACTTACTTGACTTCTCATTTGTAATTTAAATTTTACTGTTGAGCTATTTAATGTGTGTGTGTGTGTATTCTAACTCATGGTTGCGTTTTACAAATTTTGGCACCTCTCCCAATTGGATTTGCAGTGTTCTTGGTTCACTTGGCCACCATCCCAATTACAGGCACCGGCATTAACCCAATTGTTGTTGGAATTCAAATTTTTTTATTTTTCTGGTAAACTTTTGCATCAAAGGGGGTTCTCTTTCCCATTCAATAGGTGGAGGGAGTATTATTTCCCTACCCTAAAAGGTTAACGGGGTAAAATGGAATTCACTCTAAAAACTAACCATGGCAAATCATCAAAGTGTATTAAAGAATATTTATTGATTTGATATAAACATCGATGGATTTAATGGATTTAAGTCTTTGTGCAGCGAAAAAATGCATCAATATTAGCTGTGAAGATTAACTAGTTAATAGGTGTAAAGGCTGGTATACAAATCAAGTTTAACAGTTGGAAACTCACAACTACATATTCCATTCATATGGTATTTATAATACATCATACAAATGAGTATTGTTACAAAGAGATAACCTTGAGAAGACTCCTAAATCCACTAAACTAGGTAACCTTGAGAAGACTCCTAAATCCACTAAACTAGGACTCAAGGAGACAGAATAATATTTGAACTACAGATAATTCTAAGGTGGTCTAACAATAGGAAGATTAATCCATTTATTGAAGGACCCCGGTGCATCACAAGATCTTAATGAATAGATTTATATTATTGTTGTCGTTGTTGTTATTAATCTGAAGAACAAAAAAACGAATTTAGTAAATAAAGGACAAAAAATATCCCTCATTCTCATGCTGGCACGGTTTGATGAGCCTTGGCTTTTCGATGCCTCAGTCTCAATTTTTATAATATATCAGCAGGGATAGGAGTGTCAACGAATATTTAAAAACCGATTAAATCGGCTGAACTGTACCGTATCGAACCAATTTTTAGGTGTCTTTTAAAGAAAATCACAGGTTTTTATATAAATTGTAACCGTACTGATAATGAGCATTGATTTTTTATTATATGAAAATAAATCGAAGAAATACCAAACTGTACCAAATAAGTTTACTTATGAAAAATATATTTATATATTAAGTTTAAAAATAATAAAACATTTATCATTATCTCCATCTCGCATTACGTGAGAATCATGATTGAAAAACTGTACAAGAGCATCAAATGGATTCCTCTGTTGCTAGTGAATTTCATCAACACCACCATAATTCTTCAATTTTAAAAACTTGATATTCTTGTTTGAGGGTGAAAATTCGAAATTGATAGTCGATTATTGTTAAAATCATCCAAATATTAATTATTTATGCTTAAATATTTCCTTTAAACGTTGATATAGTGTTTTGCTTAAAAAATCTCAAAATTTCACTATTGATTCTTAGAAAATGTTGAAGAAAACAAATTGTATCTGCTTGATTTGCTATTTTTGGCGAAATTGGTATCATATAGTCCTGAGACTAGGCTGCTTATCGGGCGGATTGGGCGGTTATTTACTCTTAACGGTTTGGCTTATCGATTTTTGGCTTTTAAATGTATTAAACCGCTAGCCACCCGATAAGATATGAGACGGATTGGTATCGGTTTAGCTCTTATCGGGCGGTTTATCGGCCTAATTCAATCTATACTGCGTGCATTAATCTATATTGCGTGCATTACATCCCAAAGTAGACTACATTAACGCCTACTGTTAACGCCTAACATATGCCCTCTGTTAACGCCTATACATCACCGTTAGAATCTTAGAGACACAGATGGATTCTAATTTAATCCTAGAAAACGCAATACATGAAAGACAAGTTGTAATAGCCTCATAATGCTTACTTCAGAAGTTAGCACTAATATACATTTTCATTGTTGTGTATTTTAACACAAAATCCAGTTAGACTTAATAGGAAATAAGCAAGTACACCGGAAGTCATACCGAAGTATGGGATTCTAAATGTCACCAATGATTTGTGATGGTTAGTTCATAGCTCTAGACTTTAATCTAGAACCATCAAAGAGACTGAGTTTGGCAGAAGAATCACTGTGTATTTTTTTTATATATATATACCAAACCGATAAGCCGTTAATAAAAAAAAATTTAATCCGTTCCCCGTCCATTAAACCGTTAACCCGATACCAATAAGCCATTAGGCTTCGGTTTCGTTTCGATTTTCGGTTTCGGTTCGATTTTGAACACCCCTACCTGAGACTTTCCAACTTCAATCCTCATATTTTTATGGAATTTTTACCTCCTATAGCAAAGTTTAACACTTTATTTATTTTAGATAAATACCATTTTTAAAAAATTATATTCTATATATACCTTTTAATATTATAGCAAAATATCTAATTTTGGTTACCTCCTACCCCTAAGACACTAAATACGCTATTCAGTTACACTATTTTCTTTCTCTCTCTACTTTGATACGCTATTCAATAATGAAAGCAGTAAGTTTCCTCTTTATCAATTCGCCATCTTCAACTGCTCCAATCCGAACCAGCGAATTCACCATCACCGACCGCCGTATAATATTCAAATTCAAGTGCGGATGACTCGTCTTCGTCGTCGTCGTATTGATATGGGCATATTTGGTCTGATTTGAATTCTTCTGAAGGCTACAACGGAATGAACCTGGATGATTTGTCGGCGCACACATGCAATGTGTTTTCTTCTGATGATGATTTTGTTGGCCGCTATTCTGCTGTGGTTCACGGCGGTGAACGGAATGGCGGATTCGCCGGAGATTAGGATTTTTTCTTGAACAAAGATGACGGAGTTTGGGGCTGAGCAACTTGATTTTCTGTTAATATATTTCAATGCATTTTCATGTATTTTATTGTATTCATTGTCTTTTTTTTCATTGTAATTCAATGTATCTCGTTGTATTCCATGTATTTCATTGTATTCACTCTCTTTTTCTTCATTGTATTTCAATGTATCCCGTTGTATTCTATGTATTTTATTGTATTCACTGTCTCACTATATGCCATGAATGTATTCATATGTTTTTTTAAATTAATATAATTTATGTATTCAGATGTATTATATAATTTTCGGTTGAGAATCTTTTTTAAAACTGAAAATACAAAATTTGTGTATTATAAGTGAGTTTGTTGAGTTATATTAGGAGTCTATTATGTTAATTGATTCACTGTCCGTTTAAAAACAATATAATCCCCTGTTTCTCACTGTGAATACAGTCGAATACAATAATCTGTCCAGCTGCAATCCCATGTTTCACGCTATGAATACAGTCGTATACACTCGAATACAACAACTGATTAGCTGGACTTCCCTGATTCACGCCTATTTTTGCTACTGTATTCATGAATACAATAGCTTAAATACATCTAATACATCTTATATCTACAATCCGTAATATAGCAAATGGTATCTATAGATAACTAATTGCCATTAAAAGATAGTCCTTTATGAAAATTTCTCTATTTTTTTTTTGAGTTGAACCTATTCCGATTGGTCTTCTAGCCCTAAACATGTCCACATATCTTGACGTCCTTGATAACCTTGTTCGAGTCTTACACACCTGGGGTTTATCTTAATTACCCCATTGAAGTCCAAAATTTACTCGAATTAAATTATAATTTTGTAACAAATCCTTTAAGGACCATTTTGGTTAATTTTAATGAGCTTAAATTATCATTTATAATAAAATATTACATGACTTTACTACATGTAATCGTATAGGTAAAAAAATATATTATGTATAGTATACAATATTACGTTGAGGGAGAACTGGAAACACAAGGGCAAAATAAATATTGCAAACTAAATTACTAGGAGAGAATGTCCATTGTTCAAGGTTTGAAAGTCAAATTAAATTTTCAAAGCAAAGATGAAGTAATTTACAAAGGAAAAGTTGTGCTATACGTCAAACGTATATACTGTATTTATTATTCGTATGTATACTTTCAACAAATTTAACATTCGTAGCTATATTTGCATTTTATAGCAAATCCATGAAACAAAATTAATTATCTCGTAGGCCAGTTGGTTAGAGCACCCGCTTAGTTAGCTGAGGTATTGAGTTTGAATATCAACAAGAGGATTTTTTAATCTTTATTTCTATATTTCGTCTTGGTTGTTTCATTGCGCCCACGAATACAGTCGATACGAATATAGTCGATCAGGGTATGTCACACCTCATTTTTACCCTAATGGGGTATAAGAGAGTTTTTCCAATTAAAGTGACAATAATCGAAACAGGATTATTTATTCAAATTCAGTGTCGCCACTTGGGATAATTTATGGTGTCCCAAGTCACCGGTTTAAAATCCCGAATCGAGGAAGTTTGACTCTGTTTTACAGTCCACGAAACACAGAAGACCGGGTAAGAAATTCTGTTAACCCGGGAGAAGGTGTAAGGCACTCCCGGATTCCGTGGTTTTAGCACGGTCACTTTAATCATACCTGACTTAATTAAATCGTCTAATTACGTATTGTTAGAACCTATGCACTTTTTCTCTTCTAATTTAAGAAGAAAGATGAGGCACGCGTACGTGTACTCATTTTATTTGGCGCGTCAAGAATCATGTCACGCGTACGTGTACACAATTAATCACGCTTTATTATTATTAAGAAAGTTTGGCCGAAGTTGCGCGAACGCATACCTCGATTTTATTTTTAGAACCATAATTACGTCACGCGAACGTGTACACAATCACGATGATAGATTAAGTCGCACCTAAAGCAAGCTACGAATATTCATTTTAGAAACCGTAATCATGTCACGCGAACGTGTACATAATCACGATAATAAATTCAAAACGCGCCTAAAGGTTCGCCTACCCGGGTGTGGTCGGCCTAAACATGTTCCTATCGATCAAAGCAATAAAATTAAACTAAATAAAAGACTCATGTTCTAATTTTTCTTTCGAATTAACTGCCAACCCCATACAAATGTTAAAGTCAACCACAAGATGATTTCACAAAGTCATTTAATCAGCAACAAAGTAGGCAAAGATAATTTATAACTAGAACAGAATAAAATGCAAGAAGTCAGAGGAGAGACTTAGACCTTTCGTATGGCAAAATTTCCTCCTGATTTTGATTAAGCAAGCACGTCTATGAAGAGCTTTATACAGCAAGGATGTCGATCAAAATTGAACCGAGAGATAAAATTTTAACAATAACACTTCATTTGTATTTTGAATTCTGGAT